AAGCCTCTTTGGCGATGGTAATATATCACTATTTAACACATCCTTTCATAATAACGAAAATTCTGTCTTTGTCCTTGGCGGATTTGGAGTAAACTTGACTCAAGTGACGGTGAATTCGACTTGCGGGTATGCTATTATGGCCAGTGCTCCCCCAAAAATATTAATCAAAGCTCCAGGTGTGAGGATTTTCCTTGAAAAATGCATCCTAGTGAACAACCGGATTGGCATAAGGATGTCAACGACTACTTGCTTAGATAATACGGATCCGCGGTATTGTTCAACGGGCGACCAAACACTTGTTGTAAGAAACAGTCTTATACTGGGAGGTGACGAAACATTAGGCACTGGGGATGCAATCAGATTTGGAATGAGATTCCCTACACAGACTTACAGTCATGTGATTCTGCAACCAAGCAAAGAACTGAAAAAGTATATTTGTCATCAGATTTTGAAGCAAAACTACTTCTTGAAAACGTTACTTTTCGCGGGTTACAGGACTGTGCATTGTCAGTTAGTGTAGAAAAGAATGTGCGTGGACTGATTTCGGTGAAAAACTGCAGATTTCTCAACAACACTCAGCTTGGGAATCGACTTGATGAACGAGCAATTGTCCAAATTGAGTTAACAGGGGTCGATCCACCCCTATGTCCGCCTAAAAGAAAAGGAAACGGAAGTGAGGAACTCATGTGGAACAAGACGTTTGAGTTACCAGCACTATTTGAAGATACCCCATTTGAAAACAACGTTGGTATCGCTGGAACTTTGAACTTTTTAAATGGCAATGTCACGTTAAACAACTGCACCTTTAAAAACAATGAAGGAGTAGCCCTTGGAGGTCACGTATACCTGAAGGCGGGTTTTGGAATTCTAAACATCGCTAATTGTAGTTTCAATCAAATAAGTTTGAAGAAACGTAACCGTGGATCGAGAACTGGTTGCTTTCTTCGTTCTGAGAGGGCTGGTCCGTTGAAAATTGAGCAATCGTCCTTTATAGCCAATAACAATAGGGAATTCGATCCAATCTTTGCAGTTACGAAAAGCAGTTCCATAATGATCGACAACTCATCCTCCTTTCGATGTTCAAGCGGAAGGAAAATCACTCAGGAGAAAATCACCGAAGAAGATGGATTTGAACTTGTGAGGGGAAGTGAAGCCAACTGGAAAAGCGAGCAACGGGAAACCTGCTGGACAAGCGTGCAACATGTCAAATTATTTTGTCAAGAATGTCCAGATGGTTTCTACAGCTTAAAAAGGGGATGGGCCAGCGGCTTCCATATTCACGAGGAAACCAAGTGCATCAAGTGTCCTTACGGAGCAAGATGTGAGCGTGGGAAAGTTTTAGCTTAAGAAAACTTCTGGGGCTCCAAGATTAATACAACCTCATCCACTTTGCAATTCATTCCATGTCCATTGGGATACTGCAAAACTCCAGCTCATCCAGATACTTACGCGTACAATGATTGTTACGGTAACAGGACAGGTGTATTATGTGGCAAATGTGCTAAAGGATACAGTGAAACCTTATATTTTACGACATGCAAAAAGAGAGAAAAGTGCCATGATGACTTGTTTTGGTCGGCGAGCTTGGTTTACGTACTGCTATTAGCTCTGTGCCAAGTTTTCAAGCCTCCTGTCTTCCCGTGGTTGTATCGGCAAGGTGTGTGGTTTAAGAGGACACCCAATTCTGACTGCAGACAGGATGCTCCAAATAGAGGCAGCAGTGGTAAACACAATGCTGGGTATCTGAAGATCATCTTCTACTTTTATCAAGTTGTCGAAATACTGATGATTATGTCCGTTCAGACAACTGCTCACGTGATTCCCATTATTACACCAATCGTTGCCCTGTTTAATTTCCAGGTAAAGACTTTTAAAGACAGCATTGGATGCCCATTTCCTGGCTGCAATGCGGTCACCAAAGAGCTGTTTTTTGTGCTTGAAGTTCCTTGCAACCCTGCTCTCCATTGCCATGATTTATGCCATCCATCGAGTCATAAGCAGGTTCCGTCCCATTTTAAAGCCATCGCTGAAACTATACCTGGCTGTTGTACTAGAGACCTTGTTACTTGGCTACAAGACTCTTGCCAACACATCACTGAGTCATGCACTGTGTTCCGGTAGAGCTGGAGTGGCGTCTGTTCATAGATGGAAACATTCAGTGTTGGCAGTGGTGGCAGTACTTGCAAATTGTCTTCATCGTGGTGTTTATCGTTCCCCTGGTTCTCGTTCTCTTTTGGGGATCGCTGATGCTTTCCAAAGACAAATTGTCCACCAAAGAGTTCTTGATAGCGTGTGCATTCCCTCTGCCCTTTCTTTTAATCTGGTGGTTTCGTTGCTGCAAGAGAAAGGTAAATACAAACCAGTATGACCACATCCTGGGCAACTCTAAAGATACCGAAGACATAAAGAAAGTTCTCCATGAACCATTCCGTCCAGCTGCTGAAGGTGGCCATGGTGCTTTGTACTGGGAAAGCGTTCTGATTGGCCGAAGGTTTCTTCTCCTAACCATTAGTACCTTCATTACCGATCCTTTGACACGATTCGTCTGTTTAGGAATTGCATGTGTTCTGATTTTGGTGCATCATCTCCTAATGAAGCCATTCCGCAACCGAAAAGCCAACATCTGTGAAAGTCTGTCTCTTGTGAGTCTGGTTGCTATCTGCACGTTTAACTTCGCAAAAGTCACCTTTATCGCCCAGGGACTAGAGCCTACTGGACCCAAACAAACCCTTTTCTTTGCTTTGGGGTGGATAGAGGTTGCCCTGCTTGGCTTGCCCCCAGCCATGGCTTTCATCTTTGTGGTTCTGGTGGTTCTATCTCAAGTCGTTCGTCTGCCGTACCATTGCGTGAAGCTCTTACGCTGATGCACCGCGGTTGTGAAGTGGGATTCGAAGAAGACACTTAAGATACTGATGACGGATTTAAAGAAACTTTAATGTCGTAATAGTTTTTGTTTTGTCTTTTTTTTCTCTTATGCAAGCGTCATCAGTTTGACATTTAGTTGATGCTTTCGCATCATAGATAGGAGCGTTTATCCAAAATTTAAGCTTGAGTAGAGGGATTATTATCGGAGCTTTTACGATAAAGTGGCTGTTGGAAACACTGCCTAAGACGGTATCTTAGTTAAGGCTAATTAAAAGCTGTAAGGGCTGATACAAACGCTTTTAAAAAAAACCAAAACGAGCTTTTTAGTTAGCTTGGTTGTCGTATCATCGACATGAAAGCAGTGGGATTTTTTTTTATCTGCGTAGATGCACAGACATTTGTATAACCGAATTACATCCAGTTCTTTTCTATTGGAGGTTATTTCATAGCTTTTGTTTGTTAGAACGTGATTTAAGGTAACTTGTCGATTAATAGAAGCTTTAGTTTTTCAGAGGTGTATTTTAGGGGCATTAAACAAGAAAAGTTTAGGTCTTAAACCTCCCAAGTTCATGCATGTTGCGCCCTTAGGCTTTGGTAATATTTTCAACAGNTTTATCCAGATGGCCTTAACGCTCGCGAAGAAATGTATTAGTTTCTAGTTATTTATCCAATTTACCTTACTTCATTTCTATTTTTGCTCACTATTTCTATTTTTATTGTTATCTCATTGTCAATCAAATTAGTTTTACATATTTCCGCTGTTACATCATACAGCTATCTACGAAGCATCAGCCCAACTCTCTGTTAATTCCCACTGCACCTGAAGAAGGCTGGTTTGGCCAGCCGAAATATAGTGCTCCGTCTTAAAATTTACTTATCTACGTTGTATCGGTGTTGCCTTTATATTTATATTTCTAAAAAGTGATGATTTTCTTGTTAGCTTCCCATCGTTTTCTTAGCCCACAGAACAGTCATCGTTTTTCTTTAGCGATTCTCGCCCCTAGTCCCTTGCGCTCAGCTTAAATAATTAAGTCTAAATCCACTCGCGTGTAAAATGTTGAAAGGAAATAATTATATCAAGCCCGTGCTTCAAGGGAAGAAACTTCACGCAACGTTTCAATGCACGGCTCCCCGAAAGACCAATCCTGAAACAGCTGCGGTAAACTTAAGGAGACCAATCCCCGGCATTATTGAAATAGTTAAATCTGAGAGACTGTTAAGTTTAATGGAAGGTTGATTGTCTCTGTGCTCTAGCCGCAAGTTAGGGATTGGTCATTTTATCACCGCCGGGTATGGAGGGGGAGTGTCGTCGAAGGATTTTGTTTCTGTCCCAGTAAAATTTATCTGATCCTTCTCTGTAGTATTCTTAGTATTCCTCCCCCCCCCTCTTCATTAGCAGTTAATTGGCAGTCAAGTTTCTTTACTTCCCCCTTCATACTATGTTTGTGATAACTGATTTCCCCCTCCGTTGCTCCTGAACTCATGGGCTCCCCCCAAAAAATCCTCCTCCCCGCCCCGTGATTAATAAACGCACTGTCAAAGTATCTTTGACGACATTTCTCCTGACACGCAACACAAATTGAGTCTTCGACGTAATATGTTTTTTCTCGCATTTGCTCCAAGTTTATTGTGATATTTATCAGTTACTTACAAATATTATTCATCGATAACAACACCCTCGTGCATATATTTCATTTTGTTTTGTTTTGTTTTGCTTTTTTTTTCGTTTTTTGTTTTTTGATTATTACTATCATTAATAATTTTACGGGGTGGATAACAATCTTTGCATTTAATCCTAATCGTCCACTTATCTGGAAAGATTTTACCATGATGGCGACCCAAGAGCAATATAAAGCAATCAGTTAAGAAAAGGTTACTCAACAGGCTCCGCGGACATTTTTCTCATAACAACGAATTGTTTCGAAAGCAAATTATGGCAGATGGTGTTAACATTGACAGCTGCAAAAGAGAGAAAGCTTTTATGTTATTTCCGGAGCCCTTTTTATACAAATTTGTAGATATTAAACTGATCTACGGCCAAAATAACCCGACTTAAATTATTTATGAATACCTAATTCCCTTCACTTCATTTCTTCTTGAGCAATATTAGGCACGTTCATCATTTGTTTGTGAAATCGCTCGTCTTGAGCCAAACACGTTGCTCGCACATTCTTTCGTCGGACTCAGGAAAACTGCGGCTTTGGGTTGGCCCTTTTATAAACTGTGTTAGGTTAGATCAAAGTTATTCCCAGGGGGACTCGTGTACGTCGGTAAATTGACGTCTTAAATCAACAACCGTGACAAGCGAGGTAGTATTTTGCAATTTAAATTGCTACCCATCTCAAATTTTTTGACAGCCAACGTGGAAGCGACCAGTCATTGCGACAGGGGAGTTTTGTAATTTCACCTTGGTGTGTGATGAAACTCGGAAGGTAGATCCCAATTGTTCACTTTCCTATCGAAACGGCAAGACGTGGAAAATCTAAGGTTAAACCATTGAGACATCGTGACCAAAACATCACCCACAGGCCCTCCTTGTTCGATAAAAAGTTTGAACTCTAAACATCTCAACTTGAATCAAGCCGAGAACAGAACGGAAATTGAGTCATAAAGGAACGACCGTCGATTAATTGTTCTTCTATAATCAGGACAATCTGTCCAAGAAATATTATGCTTCGACGAAAACTTTATTCACAGTGATCTGCTGTTCAGCATGAATTACCCTTCTGATGAACCTGACGACAGCCAAAATTTTCACGATGAAATCTCCTCGACTCTCAAAGGTACGTGGCGGACACAAATACTACTAAATGGTTAGATATTGGCAGCGGTGTAAGATCAGAAAAACAATTTCCACCAAAAAAGTGATCGATTTGAAGCTTTTATCATCGTGCAGACGAACAGAGAATAATTCGAAATTTGCGTGCGTGGAATACAGTAAACAAACGCGATGTTCGTGTCAAGTAAAAGTATTACTCTCAGGATTAAACTGTTTTTTTCTTTGCTTTGGTTGAGCCGTTGATAGAGACATCATCTTAAGCCTTCGCGCTAAATTTTCCGCACAAACTACTATATTTTTCCTCAGAGACGATGTACTTTAAGTGTAGTTCTTTTCAATTTTAATTTGGCGAAAACTTGAAGACAATGACACAAATGAGCGGTTGAAGAAACCATGCACAACAATAATTTTCTGTGTATATTTATTCCTCTTTTACCGTTGATAGAGGTTTCAAAAAACAATGTTCGCGAGCTATTTTTTCGTGTTTATGTTAAAATGGCAAAGCCTCCGAAAAACGTTTCCTCTCGTTGTTGTTCCACATTTTAGTGGATTTTAAATCAAACGGTGCAACAATAGAATGGCAGGCGACGGAAAATTAGTTAACAGTTATATTGATTCGCCTTAGATGTTCACTCTCTATACAATGGCGTGCGACAGGACACCTCTAAAATGTAAACGAAAAAGGACAGAAATATTCCCGGCTATTTCCCAGAACGGGATTCTAGATAGTCGGACGGAATACTCGAAATTCTGCAAACGCCGCGTTTTTTTTTAAATATTAAGAAAAAAACCCTTCAAGTGTTTCGATAATAACAACTGGATAATATGGCACAGTAATAGAAGGATATACAATAACAATGAAGGAATTAAACGTAATGTTTTTATATCGAGCGAACGTTCGTCCGAAAATCTAAACATGCCAAATTTCCGTCGATTCCTCGAATTTGTCAAAGACGCAGAACGGAAGCAAAAAACATAATTCAAAGTCTAGAGACCACTACAATTTTTATTTTATTCATATGTTGAATGTTTAACCTTTCGTATGCAAATTAAATTTGGAGTAATCGTTTTAAAGAATAATCTAAAATGGTTTTCGGTGGGAAGCCAATGAATATTTTCTTTTATAATTCGTGATTCCTTTCAAAATTGTGTGACTGCTTGTTTTTGTTCTGAAATTACACAGGACACGGAGAATAACGCGCGATAAAATCAACACGATGGTGAAAAAAAAATGATAAATTTATTATTTTATTCCATAGAGTTGTTAAGAGGATTCAAAGTCTTTTATTGAAAATTTTAGTCGGATGATGGATTATCTTTTTGTACGACCAAGTTATATTTATACCATGTATGATTCGTCGATTACTTGATCCAAACGTGGTTGGTTAATTTCATTTTTATTAATTGCTTCTCGAAACATCTTGGTATTAATGTGGACAAAATTGTACTGAAAAGAAGAATTAAAATATGTTATCGTAGTAGATTCAGGACGTGCTATAAAGACATTCGAATTCCGGTTCAAAGTATGGACACAAAGTGTTTTTCAGCGAGCATAATGAGGTTGCATGACAAGTTTGATAGTTTAAGCGAAATCGGTCACGCGCTTTTCGTGGATATTAATCCGTTAAAACTTTACATGTACAGGTGCTTGATTTTTCAAAGCGATTAATATCATGATTGGTATGCAAGACATCTGGCAGGAAATTTCAAATTGCCTGTATTCATCAAATTAAGTTATAGGCTACGATGTAATTTAAGAGATATTTTATGGGCATTACGAAGTCGTTCCTTCGAAAACTATTGCCTAATCTATTTTCTAAAACGATTACTTTCCTTATCTAAAAAGTGTAATCACTTGAAGTTAGTCAGTGTTCTTTTTGCTTGAGATTTAAAATACCTTAAGACAATTGTTCCTTGATATTTTTATCGGTATCATTTCCGGCAAGAGAGACTGGGGGTGTGGGAAGGATTAACGGGTGGGGTCCAGTCGGAGGAGAGGCGTTCACCGTGTGTTAAAACCGCCATTCCACCGCTTTCCAATTAAACTGTCATAGAAACGTCAATATTTGCACTTAAATAAATTAGGATGGGAATACTGGTGAGAAAAATTTACATTGTTAACAGGGGTATAGAGCCGGAGAGTTGACCCTAAGGGGTTCCTCGTTTAACCAAGTCTCTCTCAGCCGGATTAGGGGGAGGGTGCAATGACTTAGGGGCCGGGGTAAATGGTTGGTCGTGGTAATGCCTTGTTAAAGAAGTAGACTTCGCACTGCATGAATTTGAATTGTTGGTAGAATGATACTGTTCTAGCACTCCCCTTCTATGAGCGCGTGCACATCGTGTGCTGAGGCTCGTGGTTAACGCCTCATACTGAGTCCATAGTCTTTAGAAATCTAGACAGACGTTTACTATGCACCTCCAATTCATTTGATTTTGTTGTCGTTTTTTGCACAGACTTAGAGATATTTCTCTGTGACCTCGCGGAGGAATCACTTCAATTACGCTTTGAAAAGCAGAGAGATGACCTCTTGGAGAAGGTGATTCAACTTCGGAAGAAGGTCACAGAGCACAAAAACTCTCAGATGGTTACAAATGGAATCAAATCCCCGAGACCTAAAAGAAAAAGCTACCCGTTTGCGGCTGTGAAGGACAGTATGCATACGTACGCTGCGCATTTACACAAACTAAACGTGGATGGAAAACCCAAGCATCCAGGCTCACCAGAAATAAGGCGCTCAGTGGATAAACCTAAATTGCGCCCACGCTCTATGTCGTGTCCCGAAATTCGTTTCACTTTAAGTCATGCGTGGAAGACGTCCCTTCCTAAGGTTCCAGAAAACGAGGAGCTCAAAGAGTTGGAGACGTAGGATCCTTGCCAGAGGAAGAATAAACGCGAAAGAATCGCATCAAGAAGTTTTCATGTTTACGTTTCTTTTTCTTGAATCACATTCCCAAATGCATGTTGACTCAAGAAGAATGAGAATAGAATTAGCTGCGCCGAATAAAGAGAAAGGACCAAGAAATCAGCGAAGAATGGACAGTTGAAAACGGATCACGAGGTATTGTTCTCAATATCTCTGCTCCAGTCTTTCTCGCTGTTTGTGGTACATAACTATAGACATTCGCAAACGAAGTGATCTGAGGTGGTCTTTTATGAGTAATGATAGGATAAATTAAACCTGGGAGAGTTTGAAGCCATGGATTCACACTTTTTTTAAGGTCTTAGTTCAAGTTCGTCACGCCATTTTCGCTCGAATGTGACCAGTGCGTCACACAGACCGGGGTCACGCAAGAAATGACATTTTTATATTGCCGACAAGTCTGACAGTCACAGAAAATAACAGTCGTAACATAAAAAAGGATGTTATATTAACTTGATTCCGACGTTGAGCCGAATTTTCGTACGGCCCTATCTTAAGGTTACAAGATCTAATGTGGATTGTTTTATCTGATTTTATACATTTTTATTTATTTCGAGAATTCTATTTGCTTGTGCATGTAAGGTAATAAACGAGTTACGCTTTCACGCCTTTTGTATGCTTACATCTTACTGAATTTTATGGGATCTTAAATGGTTAAAGTCATTGTAACAAAATTGAACCGATAGCTTACCCATACCATGCCATACCCTCTTTCTGCTTCTCCTCGACTTTGGATATAAGGCAATGAATTTTTTCGGCGCTGTATCCTTTGAGAGTTTTCTGCCGATGCCTATTGTTGCGGATCAAGAATAATTCTCAAATTCAAACACGCAACATTTTTATGGAGGGCATCAACATGAGAAAATAAGGGAGTCGAAAAGAATATTTCTAGCTTATGCCCTGCGATACGTCGATTTTACCACTAGAAAGTTTTTTGCACGGAAGTTTGTTTTCACCGGCGACCGCCTGACAGCTTAACTGCATCCAACGTCATGAACAGCAAGCGGTCATGACGGACGGCGACGACACTGGTTTTGTCGAAGAAGAACTAAGCGGACGTCAGGGAAACAGACTTCCGCATCCGTCCTCTATTAAATCGGAGAACTGGGTACTAAGTGAGCCCATAAGCATGCCGCTGAAATCGAACATGGCGGACGGACGTGATGTTTTCGCGACGTTTATATGAATATGATGGAAAACGTCGTAAAATACAAAATCTTCGTCAGAGATGGGGATTCTTTTGCCACTGAAAGCAAGTTGGAAACGCTATTGGCTTATTACCTGGCTTTTCTGAGTCCATTCATCGACAATTTTATTTGGCAGGTCGAACCTTTCTGTCTCGTGAGCAAAGCTGGAAAAGGTTTGTAACTTCGCAGTTAACTCTGTCGGAGCATTGCTACCCTATTGTTCACTTTCATAAAATATTTAGATAATGATTCGTCCTTTAAAAAAGATTCTACTCTCACAGTCTCTCTTTACGCCTAAACTAGAAGACAGGTTTCAGTTTCACTGAAGTTCCTCGAGAGTGGTGCTTCGATCTGCTGAAGCTAACCATTGAAATGCATATCCTTGCCCTCTCAATTATCATTAACCTCTTTCATTACCAAGATCTGATTGTTAATTCTCCCCTTCAGCTGCTACACATTTCCCTGTAAAGTAGTTACCAGACTTTGGTGTTATATCAAGATAACAACTTCTTCCTGATGAGTTTGAGTATTCTCATTACCTGTTTACTGGATAATGTATGGATATTAGAAGGAGAACTGACATGTGGATCTCTTTTGGGAATTACATGGTTAATTTTTTGTCATTGTTATAACTAATACAGTTCCAGTTGTTTCATTTCTTTCACAATGTTGAATGTGCAAGAGTTAAATTATACTATTGTAAGAACATTTGGATTGAAAATTACCAAGGGTTATCTCACTAGCTGAGGAAATTGGATTTTTGAGATGGTGAACTCATACACATAGAAAATTTATGATACAAGATCTAAGTACCTTTTAATCTTTCAGTAAAGGTGTTTCTCTATTTCCTCACATTTATTTTTTTGACATGTTTCCTTTCAGGAGATATTCCAGCTCACCTTTATGGAAGGACAAAGTTTGGTGACAATGTTGATGATGAATGGTTTATTGTATCCCTTCTCTTTAAACTTTCAAAGGCATTTCCTGAAATGTGTGTAAGGTGAGACAAAAGGTTTAGCCAATAAGATTCTCTACATAGAGAGTCATGTTAGAGAGATCTAGGGTATTTCTGCAGCATTCCAAATAGTTTCTGTATACAAGTATGTAAATCATATGAGTACCTCTGAGGAAGTAAACTGTAAATTGAAAACAGAAAATTCAATTCACCAAGGGTTTAAACTTTACTTGCCCGCCAAAATTCCAACATCTCATTTTATTTTCTTCTTTTATTAGTATATCTGATAATGATGGTGAATTTCTGTTGATTGAGGCAGCTGATTTCCTACCAAGATGGCTCAATCCAGACAACAGCAAGAACAGAGTGAGTTTCAACCAAAGTTACTGCTGCAATGCTTTTTTAGCGACTCTAACTCAAGAAGCTAGAGTCGCTCTCGGCTATCGCCTCACACAACTCTTATGCTCCTTTCATGCTTAGCAACCTCCCGCATGCAGCCATAACTCAATAGTGTACACTGTGGTGTTTACCATTTGTTAAACAGAAATGTGATAAGAATTGTTATAATTGTTATACATTGTAGTCACCATCTGTCTTCTCATTGGCTAAATGCCCACAGTTAATTCTGGGAAACAGCGCAACCTACAGATTATTTACTTATCTGTACTTACAGATTAGTGAATAATCTGTAGGTTGTGCGTGCAATGCATGATTTCCGGTGGAGCAACGTCAAGTTCACAGACAGCAAAGTAAGAATGGCTTCTCAATTCGCTTCATCGACCCAGCGAGAAATTGAGAAATTACTTGAAGATAAAGATTCGGAAGATACTAAAAGATCTACTGTAACAGTTTTCTTCATTGATACTTTCTTTCGAAATGCATTTAACTTTTCTGCACTTGATTGTTTTATAAAACTGTGAAAATTTGTTTACCACTCAGTTGTACATTTTTAAGTGTTCGAAAATAAACTGCATTTGCTATGATAATGCGTTTGGTGTTATTTTCTTTAAAACAATGTATATTAAAACAATTATTGGACAAGGTTTTTGTGATATCCGGAATAATCGAGGTCTCGACCTTGATTATTCCAGATACCACAAAAATCTCATCCAATAATTTTTTAATATCAATTAGGGGAACATTACTTGATCTAATGCCAAATTCCCCAAACTAACATCGTGAGAACTGTATGGTTAACAGTAAGGAGAATTTAAATGAGATCTTGGGAATGAAAAGGTTAAGGATTTCTATTTCCCATTCAGAGGATTTAATGAAAGGAGCATCCTCAGTTGCTGGTTAAAGTAAGAGACAATTTTAGAATTATTTTATCTCCTGTTCCAGATGTAAAAGAAGGGTAGAGATCTTTGATGATATCCTTGATGTATCTTGGTTAGATTCAAACTGAACAATGTTTGTTGATTATGACTTTCAGGTTTTTGTCCATGAAGGCAAAGTTCACATAATCCCCATTCCCTCCACTCCAGGGGAACTGACAATGTACCCAACTGGTACCCCCCTATTGCATCAAGCCCTAAAGTTAGTGTTTGGGCCTTATAACACTGAAGCAGTAGCACAGATTCAGGAGACAATCAAGCAAAGGATTGAAATGTGAGTGAGAATAGTGCAGCATGGCATCTTATCAGCTGATTAGTATTTTCTAACCATTTTCACTGCATTACCGCAGTAGGGTAGGACTAGAACAGCATGTATGCGAACCATGTGAGTAGTCCACCCAATAAATCTCACCCATTCCACCCCAGGGGAGGACATCCATCACACAGTAATCTCATGTGTGGGAAATTAACGTCTCTTACCCCTAACCCTGTAGGAGACAGGACCTCCATTTATTCGTCCCTATCCGAGAAGACTAGAATATCTAACCATTTCTTGATGTTATAGAAAGTTAGCATATTCTTCTCAATTATTTTAAGACCTTGAGTGTTGGTCCGGCCGGGGCTTGAACCCTCGACCTCCCGCACATCAATTCAGCGCTCTATCCATTGAGCTAACCGGGAGGCAGTATATCTACAAGGAGGGGCAACATTTTTAGCTTCTTGATGCTATAGAAACTTGCTGTATGGTTCTTGAGAGAATTGTTAATGCTATTGTTCTCATCTTTTTCTTTCCATCTCAGACTTCCAGAGCTTTCTCAGAGCAACACTCATTGTGCTTACTGCTATGTGCCAGTAGAAGTCAAATTTGTTCTTGATCAGAAGCCATCTTTGATCAGTCCTGTTGTACAGGCATTTTATGGGCGGGATCCTGTTGACATGAAGGTTTGTTATGCAACAATTATTTATCAATCTTTTGATAGGTTCATTAAATGTTTTTACTATGTAAACTAAATGCAATTATGTCAACATTTAAATTATGTTTGTTACAGGCTTGTAGAACAATGGATCAGTTCTCATTGAAAACAAGACTTCTGTCAAGGGTATGTGGCATTCTAAGATTCCCTTTTTCAATGAGCAGGAATGCCTGAGGGGTGACATAAGCATAAAGGTCAACATTTTTAAGATGTGCAAAGTTTAGTCTTCTGCCGACAGACTCTTTGATTAAGGGTAATTCTTGAAATACATCTACACCCAAAATCTGAACTGCTTCACGATGCAAACTGATGGCAACACCCAACTCATGTTACCTGGAATAACAACATTTTTATTACATTATTTTATTTCCAGATACGTTTCACTCGTTGCCTTTATGCACAATTATCCCAACAACCCTTCAAGCCAGACCGGAGATCAGAGTGGACTCTGCCACCAGTTACTGATCCACATTTCAAAGCTCATGAGTTGGGTCTAAAATTGGTAATAATCTCATGATCAAGAAATATATATTGCTATAATTATAGTTTTGTTATGTTTGGTTTACATATGTAAGTGCAATAAACAGACCATGCTGTTTTTTTTTTTCAAGGCTTGTGGATTCCAGATCTTGTGTAAAAGAAGTGGAGAAAGACAAGTGGATTCAAAGGTATTGGCAACATAGCTGTTTTCTAATTCATCAAAAAGGTGCTTTGATGATAATTATTTAGCCGTTCCAAAAACAATTTTAGAGGTACGCAGAACAAAATTTGGACACCAGGGTATCTACCTTGTTTTGTGCTAGTCCACCAATTAACTAAAGCTAAGACTCAGTGTTAAACTACAATTTCTTCACCAAGCTGTCACTCAAAAGCATAGCTAAAGGGGTTCATAGGGTGCATGTAAACCCTTCCTTTGTAGGCCTTTTTTTTGTCACATCAAGTAAAACACAATGGGGAGGTCAACATGACAATCTGGTGAGTACCTTCTGTTTGACATGGTGTGACCCCCCCCCCCTTTGAAAACTCCTGTCTGTCCCTGCCTCCTGCATAGAACAAAAGAGTCAGTATCACACATTTAACAAATGGTAAACACCACTGCGTACACTATTGAGTTATGGATGCACGCGGGAGGTTGCTAAGCACGAAAGAAGCGTAAGAGTCACTCGAGGCGATAGCCGAGAGCGACTCTAGCTTCTTGAGTGCTTAGCAAACCTCCCAAGTGCATCCATAACTCAATAGTGTACGCTGTGGTGTTTACCATTTGTTTA